TTCCCTTTTGTGTAGTATTTTCTTATTGCTTTAACAATGGGATGTTATATTGCTTGTTGAAGGCTTGAAAATTAAAAACTATAGATGCTAGTATTGAATGAATTGATTTTTTCTTAAAAATAACTTTCATATCAAGGTGGATCGAAAATTTTTTCCCCAGAATTTCGAAGCCTACCTATGCACAAAAGATGTTCTCTCTGTTATATATATGAAGGGAAAAATAAAATCAAAAAGGAATTTTTATTGTAAGTGCTCTCACAAGGAGAATGAAGTTTGGGTATTTAAATTGTTTTTACGAGTCAAAGTAATTTTTGCTAAAGAAAAGCAAATAATTTAAAATTGTTAACTTTTGTTGCAATGAGAGGGCACCTACTAAATAATTACGAGAAAAATTTTTACAGTTTATTTGGTACTAAGTTTTTAAAAAAAAAAGAAAATGCCTACTGTTGAAATTACAGAGTGGAAGACGGAAACAAGCTTGTACTGATTCAACAGTGCGGGGGGGGGGAGAGGGGGGGTTATGATAATTATGGAAACTATACAATACATACTGCGTATTGTACTATAGAATACACAGTACCCACTTATAAATAATGGTTGCTTTTGGTTATTTATATTGCAGAAAAACAATTTTGTTTTGAGCCTGGAATCATTTAACCTAAATTTTCCCCATTTTTTTTTTTTTTTTTTTTTTGAAAATTCAAATCCTTTGTGGCAATATTAAATTTTGATAAATTTTTTTCAAAATTATTCTTTTTCTGTTATCCACATACCATAGAACAATTTTTTTCTCATAGTTGGGTTACAGTAAAAACAATATTTTTTCTCCAACTAGTCGTGATCCATTCTATTTGACATAAGTAGTTTTGAAGTATATAAACTCAAAACCCCTTTGCAACTTTGTTTCAATATTGTAAATTTTAAAGTCAAACCAAACCACTTAAAATATATGTTTCTTAAGTTTTCTTTTCTTTAATAACATCATGCATATAGTTTTAAGAATTGTCAAAACTCTCTTTACTTTTTAATTTTTTCTAGATTTAATAAAAGAGGAAGGTAGTTGTAATGAATAAATGTATTTTTTCTCATCAGCAGACCTAAAATTAGTACCTTCTAACTGGTTTATTAATATACACTTGGTAAAACCCACTGCGAAAGAAGTATCCATATCAAGATAGTGTTTCGACGGAAGTTAATTTAAAGACAAAAAGAAGAAAGAAAGAAAGCAAATGAATGAAACTCATAAAGGATGTTCTGTGCCCCAGAAAGAAAATAGAATCAAAAGCCAAGGACTTTTTTTTCTTTCTAAATTAGAAATTTCAGTTAAGATATATATGAGGTAAGACGAACATAGTAACTTTTAAAAGTTAAAAAAAAAGAGCATTACTTGTTTAAATTTAATTTAAAAATGTTTTGAAATAAAATAAGATAAAATTTCTGCATTCAGGGCAACACAAAATCATTCATTAATGCAAATTTTGGTCACATTTCCTGTTTTTGTTTAATATATATTTTCTTTAGTAATTATGTGAGCAATCAAAAATCCTTCTTTTATGTTTTTAAACTATTTCACACCCTAAAAAAAACTGCAGTGTATTTTTACTTATAATATAGAACTTTCAACTAAATATTAGTTAATTTTTAAAAAGTTTATGGCATATGTATATAAGAAAAGTAAGATTTAATTTTTTCAGAACTATAAAAGCGGTCTCACAGCATGCATTTGTATTATATATATATATTTACACAGTGGTCCCCGAATTAATGATTTCCTCGGAACTGAACATTTTATTTGCTAATTCGGGGTTATTCGTTATATCGGGGTCCAAAACAATACAAATTTTTCGCACTCACCTTTTGTAAATTCTATAATAAGCAACTACACAAAATATTAGAATTACAGAACCAAAAAATATACACAAAAATACAGAATTACACTCTTTTTATTCAGCAGCTGAAAATACCATTGTCGAATTATTACTCATCAGTTAATTGGAAATATTAAAATACTATCGAATTGATGTTTGACCATCTTTTTGATTATTTACTCGAAAGAGTTTATTTTTCGACTTTATGCAGAAAAAAAATACTGTGCCATTTACATCATGTTACATGAGATATATTTTCACACTTTCCGAACAATGTAAAGCAATTGAAAAAGTACGTTTTGATAGGAGTTCCATTATCAATTTTTACATCAAGATCACTGTTCATTGACTCCAACGAATCAACAATTTCCTCAACTTTAGTTGCACAGATAGACAGTACGTCATCGAATGTAAAATAATCTTTAAAACCTATCCCAGGATTGATTCTCATGTGCAAACCATACAGCTAATTTCTCTCATGAAAGAGAGTAAATTGAAAAACTCTTAAAATATCCCCAGCGTTGAGAAGAAATTAATTTTTTTCTGTCCTCTTCAAAACTTACGCAATAGATTACAATCACGACTCATCTGAACCTGTAAAGTCTAATAGAAGTGTGCAACTGATGTGTAAAGTGTGCCACTGATTATAATCAGTGGCACACTTTACCATCAAAATATGCTGCTTAAACGAAAAGTCTTTTTCTGTTCCGGAAAAAAAGTTATCCATCATTTGAAAAGAAATCTAATTTTTTCTAATCCAATCTAATAAAATTTTTTTTTCGGCTTTTGAAATAATTCGTTAATTAGGGATATTTTTTCTTCTATTTTAATCGGGGATGAAAAAAATTCTTCAAATAAGGGTTCGGTAAATCGGACTCCGATTGTATGTATATATATATATATATATATATATATATATATCATTCTTAGCATAAGAAAACAAGTTTTACTAAACAATTTAAAAATAAATAACACATAAGTCGAAAATCAAATTATGTTTATATGCTACGTTGAATCTCGATAAACTGTTCCTGTAAATAAGATATCTGTTTTTGGTTATATATCTAGACGAGGTTTATTAATGGTGAAAGTAGGAGCTGTTAATAAACGATCTTATTAACAGTTCCTTAGCTCTTATCGTATATGTGATTTCTTGACAAAAGTGAGAAAAAATAACAAACTAATATAAATACTTTTCAATTATATGCAACAAATATCTATCTTTTTTGTGTGAACTTAGCAAATGGTAATAAAGCATAACATAAACCTTTTAGTTTTTGGCTTGAATATTGCTTATCATTAAAATAGCTTTTAAAAATTTGAGAAGTTTGTAAATCATCACTAAAATAGTCATAAAACCGTCACATACTGAATGTTAAAGTAGAGAAAATAATTTTTTTTCAAATAAGACAGCATGCTCACAAGTATTTTTAATAAAGTTATCTGAGCACAAATTTTCGAAAAGTAATTTCCGAAGAATGTTGTTCCTGACACTTCTGATTTATTACTGTCATGGAAAATTTTTATGGATTAATTGAACTACTTTCATTTTATTAAATCACTTCATCAAGTGCTGTCCCTCTCTCTTACAGCTTTTTTACTCATTTTTTAAAAAATATTCTTTGAAAAATTGATTGCGAGACATTTTAGTGTTATTCAAATTAAAAAATTCTTGATATGGGATGTAAGCATTCTTATAAAGTATTACTAAAAACTGAAATATGATTGGCATTTACTAAAAAAAAATATCTGTTTTACTCTATCGAAGTAAGTATGCGTAAAATTCCTTTACCAATGGAAATTTCCTCAATAATTTACGTCATTTCATAAAAATGGGTTTTAAAATATTGTTACGAATTTTGTGTAAAATAGTTTAAATAATTTGTATTTAGATGTGTTACGCATTTATATTACTCTATGTTATATTTATTTTAAAACTGTAATATTCACAAGCAACGCTGTCCCTTACGTTATAATGGTGATTCAATAGGAACTTGGCGAAATCTTGGTAATAGAGCCAAGTTGGCATCATTTTTAGTGACCATTTTTGGAAAGTTCGGGACCTTATGGGTTCTTCCAGAAATTAGAGGAGAAATCCACTAATTTTACGATCTATGATGCAAACGGATCTTTCTCGAATGATCCGCGTGGCCTTTTTATGCGGAAACGGTCGCTGGATCCGAGTTAGTATTGGTTTGACTAGAGATTAGTAGTCTTGCCGTGACCTTGAAGAGTCGAATAGCGATTACCTTGCCTGTTGAGTAGGCCGAGCGGTGCTTGTGAATAATCTGTCCTACTTATTTTTTAGACACTGATATTGTGTCTGAGTGCTTTAGAAGGTGTGAAGTAATTCTGATATTTATTATGGGAATTTTGCTGCTGTATCCTGTATTTCAAGGATTGATTTTCGACAGTAAATTCTCACCGCTCTTAAAGAACTGTCTTGTTCTTTGCGGCTGATTTGCATAAAATCCTCGAACCTCAATCCACGTAACACTATTTTTCAAAAAAAGACAATCAATTCAAATCTACTGCATAAAAAATGTGTATCACACACACACACACACACACACACACACACACACACACACACACACACACACACACACACACACACACACACACACACACACACACACACACACACACACACACACACACACAACACACACAACACACACACACACACACACACACACACTGTTATACAAAACTTTTAACAGCCACGATAACGGAATTGTCAAAACCATGAACTTTTATTGTGGCATTGTTGCAATCGAATTGCGAGTTCAAGTCCTGGTGTCTATAATGACCCGTCTTGTAGCAAAACTGAGGCACGTTACATTTGTCGGGGCTCAAAGTCCACCCATTGGTGGGGTTTGGAAGTTTAGGAAATGGGTGCCAGCTCACCTGTCGTTTTCGTCTCTTGACCTTGGTTTAATCCTTTAAGTGGTTTGCCCGTACTATGTACGGGCAACCGAAAGTTGGCCGAAACTGGTTTACAAGTACGATGTTTGGGCACTGATATTTTTTTCCTTCTTTGATTTGTGAAGGTGTATTTAATTCTTATGGTGCATTATTTAGTGTAGAATTGATTTCATTTAAAAAATAACTGAGTGAATTGGAAAAAAAAGTTGATCGCGTGACTCGAACCTTATCCTCCCGCGTAGAAAGCAGGTGCACTGCCAACTGTGCCACTGCGTCGCTGGAGGTAATTAAAAATTAATTGTATAAAAGCTAAGAATAAATTTCGAAGGGTACTTCTCCGAATTTACGGGCCATTCGGCGCTAATGCATTGAGGGTGGAATATCCAAAGAGAGCACTACTATTACACCAAGTCTCGTCCTAAAATGAATTCCCTCCCCTTGTGAGTATTTTCATTTGAAATATTTTATGAGTTACAATAATTTATTCAAAGCAATCTGGAATTAAAAATATGAGAATAAAACAATATGAAATATTTCCTCCCCAAATTCACCACTTGTTTGAAAGAATTGAACATTTCCCGTATTTGAGAGGCTTAGGAATGCTGGATTAAAGCAAAACACAGAACGGAATTTTTCTAACATCGTCACAACAAAATAACAAATTTACCCGAGCGAATTCCATGAGAGATTCTTTTCCAATTGTCTCATGTTGTCTGTGGGATTTTGTGAAAGATCAATAGTTAATTGCTCTTGCTACGGTGAGCAATAAGTTCAGTGAAGTATCTCCATGCTGATAAGCAGGGTTTGAGAACTTATCTAAGAGGAGGACGAATCTCAATTCTTCTTCATAATCCTTATGATTGCTTGAGTACGATTTATAACATCTCCTTCTTTAATCAAACGAAGACAAAGAGTGTATTTATTTCACAGTTTTTCTTTGTCTTTTCTGTGTAGGGAGTCTAAAAGATCTTATTTAGGTGTCGGAAATAAAATTTCCGGCTGCAGTGTCTGTCTTTCGGAATTTTCCTTTTTTTTTTATTTTTCTAGCAAATGCAAGATAATGCTACGTGAAAGACAGAGATTAATTCTTCTAAAAAGGAAAAGAAAATTGGATTTATCCTACACAAGGAGGAGAAGGGGAAGGAGAAATCATTCCGTAGAAGAGAACTTGTGAAAAATCGGATTGGGAACACTTCGATCGTAAAGCTCATACAATTTGCACTTGGTAAATGGAGATCTTTTTTATTCATCAAAGAAACAAAAATTCCATCATCTGTTTTATAATAGAGAAGTTAATACAAAATGAAATAAAGACAATCAATAACAAAAGGAGCACAATACAGCTCCCTATCCCGAATGTAGTATTGGGCATAGAAATGTTTGTCTGTGACATTTCTCCTTTTTATCTTTGGATATTTCATCTATTGAATTAGAGAAAGAAATGAGTCACGTATGAAAGGCTTTTACAATCGGAACAGTTTTCATTTCTTATCTTAAATGAAAACCGCAAGGAAATTATTTGGAGAGGTCGATTACTTTTACCCATTCAGAATAAATAGATTTTGAAATAAAAAAGTTTTGACTGCTCTTTTAAATATATAATTTTATCAAAAATCTTAGTTTTTGATTCAAATGTAAATTTAAAAACAGAATTCGGAAAACTGCAGAGAGGTGTTTCTTTAATTTAAGATATCAACAATTATCGTTAATTATCACTACGCAAAAATGATAATGATAACTAACATTATTATGTATTATGCCCAAATACTGAAGACAATACTCACTTTTTCTTTAAAAAGGAATAATTTGTGTAACGAAATTTGATTTTTGACCTTCTAAGCAAATTCAATATCATTTAAAACTTATTTTACGAAGAATGTTGTTTCTGTCTTTATATTCTTAGCACCCAGAATTTAAAATCAACATAATATAATTAAAGCAAATCATATGATTTTTAATGAAGAGTAGTGAAAAAAAAACATTATTTAACCAAAAAAAAGGTTTTATAAAAGGGGAATATATGAATTAATTTTATGATCTTATCTTAATTTCTTAACTTCAAATAATATTTTCCGATAATTGAAGGAATAATTAAATTTAACGCATAATTTAACCAATCTAAGAACAAAAATAAATTGATAAAATAATTCAACACCGAGCAGAAAATAATTTTTATTTAGATCAGTTATTTTACGTTAAATATTTTGGTATTTTAAACATCTTAATAATATGTTAAAAAGCATGCAAAAATATCATTAATTTTTATCAGATTAAATCAGTTATTTTAGCTTGCTTCAGTAAAAAAAAGAGAGAAGTAAAAATTTTCAAAAAATACTTAATCTTACTACATATAGCTAACAAAAATATTTAAAGGCTTCTGTTTACCTGTCAAACACGTTCTTGTTTGTATGTTGAAGTGGGTTTATATGAACTAAGAAATTTACTTATATTACCGGCTAATTAATCTATATATTTATTGTAAGAGTTAATTATAGATTTATTGATATATTATGAGTTAATTAACCTATCAGCATATTTATTTATATTATCAAGTGACTGTGACTTAATCATAGTCAAAACTATTCTGTCCTAGCTTTTTATCATCGTTCTTGAAACCTCATTTCATCCATTCCTGCCAACAACATCAAATGACAATATTGCTCTGACCAAAATGTCAAACGATCCTATGATTTGACTACCTTGCCACCTTTAGTTCATTTGCACGTCCTTATTCAAATGGCGACATCTGCTCATAATTTTCAAGAATCCGTTTATGAGGCATTCATGCAGTCTATGTGGTGTGACGAATCTATGTTTGGATAGAGATAAAAGTTACATTTTATCTATGCAAAATCTTTTTCTTTTGTACCCAATTCATAAGTTCTGTAGCAATAAGCTGGAGCTCAGGTAATTATAGTTATTGAAGGCCAAAGTAAATTCTATAGTAATTTCTTTTAATGTGGATAATTTCTTTTTGGTGCTTTGCTTTTTGTGTCACATATAGATCGCTATCAATATATCTTATTGTGAACTATGAATTTTAATGGAACTATTTTTAATTTTAATCAATAATTTTTTTCTTTCATATATCCAGTTCCAGCTTGTTTTTTAACCAACATTATATGAAAGCCATAAAGTAGATTGCTTAAATCAGTGGTCACTGACCTCTGGGCCACTGACCGGTACCGGTTCATGGATCAAATAGTACCGATCCACACAAGGAAGATTAAATTATTTCATTTATTGGGGTGTATTTTTCTCACGTTTGTGTGACTTTTTATGGAAATGACTTCATATTTCATGTTAAATGACTTAATATTCATTTTATGGTGTAACTAAATTTTATTCTGAAGGCATATTTAAATACAATTAAATTAAAATTATTGAATCAAAATAATCTAAAATATAAACAATAAACATCACCCCCCCCCCTCAGAGGACAGCGGTAAAATTATCAAACATCGCCCGGTCTGCGGCGCTAAAAGGGTTGAGAAACACTGGTTTATATAAATGATCCATGTTCAGATGATGAGACTGGTATCATGGATGCTGTGTCGTTAGCTTCTACACCTTTCTATATGGAAATTTAAGACTAAGTACACAAGATTTAGGATTCTGCATTTCTAATGCCGTAGTTATACTTCACTTTAAATTGCAATTCTAATATTTGCCTTTAGCACGGGAGAGGGGGGGGGTACTATATATTCTATACTTTTCTCCTATCCTTTAATTCTGAAAGGGTTTTGACTTATTGTCTTTAAATTTAAAATTAATTGTATATTTCTTGAATGATTTTAAACTATAAAGAAACAGTATGATATATATAGGAATACATATGTCTCATAACTTTAAGGACATGTATTTATTTTAAAATAATTTTCTACTGAGAATATATACTTTAGGTAGGGTTCATTACGTTCTTTAATATTTAGACAAACGCAATGCAAAATTTTTCCCATAAATATATTATTATAAAAAAGAATGAACATGTTAATATTATATAAATTTCATTAATACTAAACTAACATGTATCAATGCAATTTATTTTAAAACTGTTTATAAATAATATGCTAAGTTACATTTAAATAGATGTGAAATGGAGGGCATTGATATAAAAAGGAAACTTCACAATTAGAACATGATAAAAATAAATCCTGATTTTAAATGCGCCATCTTTTACTTCTGATCAGTAATTTACTGATATAACAATAACTGTGCATCTATTAATGAAATATTGATTTTTTAAATGTATTAAAAACAATGTCATCAGCTGCTACATCTTCGAATCATTCATTCGAGTCATCTTTGTTCTAAATATATAAACTTTCGTTTTCCGAGAAACAATAAAAGGGGCAAAATGAAGATAGTAAATTTGCAGTTCTGCTCTCACTTTGTCTCACCCGTTCTCTGAAACTGAACTAGCTTTTCCAACATATAAATTAGCTTGTTACTGTCTGGAATTCAAAGAGGTACAATAATGATTGCAATTCTGCTCATAGAAGCGAAAACGTTGCTCCCGTTTTGAGAATATTGCTTGAGAAGGAATTTTGGCTTAGAAAATTAAACTCGAGGAAAAGTGGCAAAATTTATACGGAGATGCTTTTCTTGAATATATTCTGCGGTAAAGAATAATTAGACATTTTCCTAAGGCTTATAAGCCTTTCTGACTTGGACATTATTCTGAGGTATGAACTACACAACAATGGCGTAAAATAGAAAAGCATTTTTTTCTGGCTGTCTTATTCAAATATGTTAATTTAGTTAGAACTTTACCTCTAAGTTTTCTTTTTTAGCAAAACTTTCTAGATATCAAATATATCTACGTTGACTGTATTTTAATGTTACGAATACTGCCTAAAATTTATCGATATACCACCATATATAAAACCATTTTTTTTTACAAAAGATTGTTTTATACAATAAGTTCTTTCCTTACTAATTGTTTTTAAAGTGTTTCTTAACTTACATCAGTTTTGCTTTTTATGAATTCCCTTTTCATTGATTGTTTATTCACGTTTTACTTTTTGAAAATTCACACATTTTGTGATGGACTTCGTAATCTTGATACAGGGTTAGCTCTTTGTAGTATAATGTAGACCAGGGGTTGGCAATCTATAGTAACATATACCACATGTGGTACGCGCTACAATTTTCTGTGGCACTCTGCTTTACTCTACAAATTTATCAATGTTTGTGTGAATTGGAGTTGAAAAATTTATAATGAAACTTATTTGACAAACATCTGCAAAATTATGGACAGTTATGGAATTACG